ACACAGTTAAATGAAAGAAAAAATCAGAGAAACGTTTTATGTAAAATAATAAAGGATGGTTGTGGAAAGGGGTGTGTTCACAATAGGGAGCATGTCCATACTAATGGAAATACAAATTAATCTTGCAGAATTTAATACCGTGGCTTGGTTAACGATGCACGAGCCTGAACGTTTTACCTGGACGGGCCGAAAAATTTAATTCGGTTATGAAACTCATTAGGTAATGTAGAAAAGCCGCACGAGCCCACGAGCCCACGAGCACGGTGATAAATGACGATGTCGTGTCGCAGGGTAGTATATGCCTCGACAGCTGCCCTTACGCTATAGGACACCATATACCCGTCTCGGATAAAGACGACGGAATGCATTAATACAATTTGCCCTGCTATCTACAGCTGTACGAGCTAATTATAATGTGATTTGCCTTTCGAGTTTCGAGCGATGCCTTTCAGACCACACGAACTTTACCTCCCTCGAATTTTCTATTTCTTCAAGTATAATGCCTACCGAAGTAGCAAAGAGATCGATTGCAAAAAATTTTACGATAGGCAACACGATGCAAGGAAAAAGAAATGTGCATTGTAGGCCAACGCGATAAACGATGACGACGACGACGACGACGACGACAACGACAACGACGATGATGATAGACGGCTGCGTTTGTGTGCGCCGCGTTTCCGGTCCGAGATTGCGGCTGAAATCACCTTGACACAAGTACATCGGCATTAAGTACTGCACTTGTATTATTTACGTGTGTGCTCGTACCCAAGGGCTCTTTTCGCAGAAAATTTCACCATTTTTCAACCTTGAAATATTTTATCGGTAGATGTGTTTCGAGAACGTGTCAAAGAAAGAGATGCACGATAATCCATGTTTCGCTGATAATTCGCTGTTAGCAAGCTAATTAACAATAGATACAAATTGGCACGTTAGCCGCGCGTTTATGACACACGCGCATGCCGTGCAGCGTGCACATTTCCTCCCGTCACGTGTAATCATTCGTAATTGCGACCACTACGTAGTACACAGTCTTGTTTCCGACTACATACTCCGAATGTCAATCCTGTGTGTCATCATAGGAAAAAGTTTTCTGTTGGCGAAAGAATGAAAAGGGAATTTTAAAGAGGTTGAAAGGCGTGAACGCGGTCGGTCGAAGGGAAGCGAAAGAGGGTTGGTCGCGACAGCAAAGCTCCCGAAACGAAATATAAATTTCCACATACGTATGCTTTATTAGAGTTCCTGTCCAAGGATAACAGTCTAGCTGGCAGAGGGTCCGTTTCGTTGCGTAATGAGAGATTTTATCGCGGTTACAGGGATAGGGCGGGGCAACCGCACTCATGCATTATCACCCCACTTCTGTCTGACGGATTACTTTATACGGTCACTGTACACAACGAGATACGTTTGTGTGTCGTTGTGTACGAAGCAACTAAAGAGCGCTTGCGAAACTACTCTCTTCCTCGCTGTTGCTCGTCGTCACGATAAAAACTGTCGGCGTGTCTGGCTCTGGCTACGATATCAGATCTGTACTTTTGCTGGCTGGTCGATTTGTCGTCTGTGATTAGGGTTCACTCCCAAGGGTGGCGGTCGTGCCGCACCGCGCCGCACCGCGCCGCATCGCGCCTCTAGATGGTATTTCGTGTTAAAACTATGAAAAATCAGTCATTTTCATATATTCATGAAGCTAATGTTTTATTTAACGGGCAAAGAAAGTCTAAAAGTCGTAACGAGTAATTTAAATTATTCTACAAGTTTGAAATGTACCATTAGGATAATAATAATAATTCACGAGTGCCTTCTCGTGACGAAGACCACTCGAATTTTCAAGTAAAAGCTCAGTGATCGATCACCGGGTTGCTGTCTCGAATTCGTAAATCGTGGGGTAACCAAGGGAAAAGTCAAGATTTCAGCGAAACGAACGAATATGAAGGATTAGGCACGAATGTTCCTAATACACTCGTCTAACTCGCGATTGTGTCGCGGAAACGAATGGTCGGTACGATAAGCGAGACAAAGTGCTTTTCGTCAGGTGAACCCTTTCGTTTGGTTTTTCGACGAGCCGGCAAGCTTTCTGAAAAACCAACGATCACTCGGCTTCTCGAGGTTTGAACCTCGTAATCCCTTATCCCGGCCAATTATCGCGTATTCTTCCTCCCCACGCGAACCAATTACCTCTGCAACAGTCGTTCCATCGTGCCGTGACCTTTCGCTGCCGTTCCTACGCCATACTCTTCGCCGGTTATTTATCGCGGCCGCGGATCTATGGGTTTCTCGAACGTTTTAATTGCGTCCCGCAAAAAAACAAAAGACTGATACGCTTCGCGTCAGAATCCTTCGGCTTTCCGATTCTGACCAGCGGACTTCTACTATTTAGTAGATGGATAAACAACACAAGCCTGAAGGAACAAGCTCATCGTTACTAATAAAACGGCAAACAGGCAGGACCCGGCAAAAGTGACGGGTTAAATTAAAAATCGACCGAAACCGCGCCCACTCCGTCCAAGCCACGTGGACCGAAACAATCGAGAGCACCGGCGCGGCGGCACGCGTATATCGGCCTGATGATCGCCGGGAATGCTTCCTAATTGGAAACCGCATCCGACAACGTCGATCCCATTAATCATCGATCGATTATACGCTCAAGGAGATAATCACTTACTTAACCATTCACTTAGCAGGAACCGGGACGAGCTTGAGTGAAACGCAAGTCATCGTGGGGATGGAGGGGAAACCGAAGAGAATAGGCTGTCCGATGAGAGTCATTATTTGGACTCGTAGCACATCTAAATAAGACCCGACGCTAAAGTTCCTGAAACAAGGCAGTTAAGCATCGCGGCTCCACGAGTAAATAATTTCACTCATTCCCTATTTTTCGATCGTGTTTAACGATAAATACAATACACATGGTGATCGTAAAAATGTTAGACATTGTCGGACAGTGATGGACACACACGTCCACGCCCAAAAAGTCAACCGTTTAACTAATTCAAAGGCTGTCACCTTTGCGCAAGAAAGTGTGTTATACCTTCGAAGGGATAAATTTGTTAAGCAAACAATGATGACGGGCAAACTTTGTATCCCTTGTCGGGAAGTTAACTTTCACGCATGCAGAGATTCGCGCGTTCATGGAGGCAAGTACGCCATCGCTCTGTTTCACGCGTTCCGATTGGCCTATGCCCTGTTTTCGTTGCATCGCTTCCGGTCTGTCGACCTTGCCAGAGGAAGCGCAATTATTAACGGCGATCTCACGGTGCATCGTGGTAACTTCGTGTTCATGCTGTTCAAATTGCATGGCTCGATTCGTATCTTCTTCTGTGTCTCTTGTTTCTTTTGTTGCGGTTATTTCTGAATATCTTCGAAAAACAGCTTTCAGCTTCCGGTTGAAACGAGTTGTATGGAAACGAAGCTTGGTAACAGGTTGCATCGAACAGGAAGGAAGATTGGTAGTTGATTCAAAGCGTTCGAAAGATGGAACGAGGCTGAAGGACGCGTGCAGGAAGGATGAGCAAGACGGAGGTTGTTGGCTCGTAAATAGTGGCACGCAATGTCGTGAAGCGACCGCGTTCTGCCACGCGACCCTCTGGGACAGGAGCCCATTAGGATGACCGTACCGCAGCATACCAACTTCCACCAGGCTTGTTTAACCCCCTGGACAATTCGATTTTCAATGCCCTTTCGACCATCTCGCCCATCTCGCCCATCTCGTCGCTGAATCAAACGACCGTGGTTAATGTTTCCTCGACCGATGACCTCTTGTTTCCGCAAACATCGTTTACCGATTCCCTGATTTCCACCGGGATGACTCGAAACGATCGATTCTAAATTTTTCTCTTTCGTCTAATTTTATCAGCTATCGAAAGAGCGATGGGTAAAAGAGAAGAGAGACAAGTTGGTCGAAGAATTTGTTGGATGAAAACTGGCCCGAAGGGTCGCGTGGCACACGCGTGCTCGACACAGAGAAGAGTATTGCGTGCGGCTTTTTTTATGAGAGGCCGTCGGCAAAGTCGCGCATCTTTCATGCACGCATCGATGCCCTTCGACGTTAAATGCTCTTCAAGAGGTTGTTCACTTTCGAAACGCATCGTCGCGTCAGCTCACGGGCTCGATCGACTCTGTTGCTCGTAAAACTCGCAGAGGTGGTCTTGCTCTTATTCGTACGGTCTGGCAACCGGTGACACCGGTGCTTTCACTTCACCTCGGCCTGGAACTCCTGAAATATCGTATTTTATCCGGCCGCGATCGGTTTCTTCGTGTAAATGATACGAAAATCGTGTGTCGACCTCGGACCCTCGATGTTGATCACACTTCCAAGCGGATGTTGTTCATCTATCTTTAACAATTACCTAACTTACAAGCACTCGGTTTCCTTCTTTTCAAAGAATTTCATTTTTTTTTTTTCATCGTTCGTTAATCGCGATCTCATATATCCCTCGTTATCGCAAAGACAAGCAAAAAAGAAATGAAAAAAAGAAAAGAAGGACCAAGCTTCTTCGCACCCTTCTTTATCATCTCAAATCGAATTCTTCCGCATGAAAGAAACGGACGGTTTGCAGCGTCGAAGAGTACCCGTTATCTGTGTCCCTATAATCCCATCGTCGCGGCGGTCGAATCGAATCCTTTCCGCGCGAGCAAAACGAAAAAGGAAGAAGCCATCCGAACGGCGAAAGTATCAAACGACGGAAGGAGATTAATGGAGAACCATTTCGAGGAGATCCGGCAATACGTGACAGGATGTGAGCGACACTTCCTCTTAAGCCCTATAATAAGCCGTCGATCTGTCGCAGTTACACCTGCCTTTCCTCTGCTTTATATGCGAACCATAATTGCTAAACGTACCAAACAGGATCGCGGCGTTTAAATAATAATAATAATGAAGTGGTGTCATTTCGTTTCGGTTCCACAAACAACCACCCAAGTCCTTTGTTTCTTTCTGAAGTGAAACTTTTAACAGCACAGTAGCGCGAGGAATACTCTAACGTGATATTTCATTTCTGTTACAGTGGTGATGCACAAAGACAAAGAAGAAAATTCGCACCACGATTCGCACTACAGAGCGAGGGAGTTGGCCGCTTTTGCGTACGATCATCACCATCTCGACGGCGAAATGTTCCTACAGGTAAGTATCTGAAACAAGAAAGGTATCTTCCAAATCGGTAGACAATTAAGAAGTTGCGTTACGAGTGAGTGGGTGGTGGAAGAGATGCGGGATGAATGAATAGGGAAACGGAAAACGAAGGATACTTTCTGATTGAAGCGAAGAGTAACCGGTGTTCTATCAAACCGCCTGTCTCGAGCGATATTATTAATATTTATCCATTCTTGGAACTATAGCCTAATTGGTTGCATCAATATACCTTGATGCACCCAGGTTTAATCGACATAATATGCAGGATGAATCATGACGGTATATAGGTAAGCAGCAGTCGGTCTGAATTTATTAATGATTATGTGCAAATGGAGCGTTGCAAATTAGTTTGATGGTAACAAGGAGTGTTCCTTCTTGCGTACATACTTTCGTCGATAGAGTTTCTCTGAATGCAATGAACAATCCGAAATCCTGAATCCAAGATTTCCCAGAGAGGTGATACAGAGAAGCTGTAACCGAGGGAATGTGTAGGTATGGAAGAAGGGAACTGGACGAAATTAAATCATCGCGAGTGAGAGGAAAAGACAGGAAGAGGCGAAGGAGAGCTAGCGGGGAGAGATATCCGGCTGATGAACCGGCTATGAAACCGAGGCGTACGAGGTGTCTATTCCTCCAAAGTATGGAAGGGTATATACACGGATTAATGGCGGTGTATCATGCGAGGCTATTACGTTCCCTTTCCTGCGTTTTAGCTGCACACACGGGAGAAACAGAGCGAGGGTGAGGGTTTGTTGGTAGGGGGTTCAGCAAAAGGACAATGGTGGGGGTAAGAGGGTTAGACGGCGATGGTAGAGGGGAAACGATACGCTGGGCGTACGTACGAAGCGGTGTACCCCGCGATTCCATGCGATCGAACGATTCCTGCCAGTGTCTATAACGGCTGGTTATTAATTGCTCGCTCGTTAATTGCGTTACGTAGCTCGTGCCGCGAGCTGATTCCTGGACGGGACCTTCTGACAGCCAGGAATGCGAGACCTGCCATTTTTCGCGACCACTTGGTCAATGTGGTCAACCAAGTTGATGCTGGACCATTGGAGTTATACATACTCGTAGTCTGGTAGCGTAAGGGCAGGCCTCGTATTTTCTATAATTCGCGGAGTTCCTTGAACCTGTCTCTTCCCGAGTACTTCCCGAGGACTTCCCTCGGCCTCCTACGCCTTTCGTCTCTCCCCCCTGCCGACTGTGCTGGCCTCATGGTTTCTACCCGCGATGCCCACGTTATACGCCGTTTTGCCGATCCTCATAAAGTTTACGAAGCCCGACAGTAAATCCGGTTTATGACAAGCCGACCGCCACCACCAGACACTCTCGAAATTACGGCTGACCGATCGAATTTTTATACTCCCCCTCTTTCTCTTTAAGGACATCGTTTCTTCGAATTAATTGAATCTATATTAAAACGCTTCTCCTCTTCTTCGTCCTCTTGCGTCCAGTATAGGGGTGCAGATTCTCCTTCTTCAAACGATCAAATAGAATTAAAGAAATTATTGTCGGGAATAATGGTGTCTGGGGGGTGGTTGATGAAAAGAATTATCATTTATCGTTGCATAGTTTACGCAAACGAAAGCCATGATCCACGCTCGGTTTTTGCCGGAATATTTAAGGCAATTTCGCAGATAGAGATCTATACAGCTTTCGCAGATAGCGTGCAAAGAGATACTTTCCTGCTTAAATACTTACGATTTTCTCAACGGCACGCGGATACATTACTCGTGCAAAGGTTTCCTAACTCGAGACAGTTAACAAGCGTTTTCCAACACTTTCGGGCCATTCTCGCGGCTAAGAAAATAACACTCGTTTCTCCAACGTTTTCTAAACACAACTGTAAATCCGTCGATTTTCGACCTTGTACGCGAATTAGATCTATACTTTCCCTCCCGGTGATCTTCTAATGAATTGAGCGAGTTAAGTATTTAACGAGCCGTTGCTATATCTTTACGAGCGATCTTGATGAACAATTACTTATTAATACTTGTATCTAAAGCGTCACGCGATCATTTAATCGATATAATACCCGTTTATCGTATTTTGTTGCTAGATTTATGAGACTGGGAATATAAAAGCTTCGCGAGCTTTGAAATTTTGGAGTTGATGAAACTATAATAGTCTGCGACGAGAAGAATTTGGGGAGATTTATGATTTCGCGAGTAAGCACTGTGTAACCGGTGAATTGTAAATTTTTTTTCTCGGTTTCCGGTATCTGACGTTGATTTCACCGCTCCTCCATCCATCCTCGTTCGTTAACAATAATATTAGGCGGCGGGTATCTCGGGTTTCTCGTTTTTATCGCGGTGGAACACGGTCGTATCAGCATTAATCAAGCGAGAAGGGCCGCCGGTCCATGGAACAGGTTGAAATCGTCGGGATAAACTAATAAAACACGCGTGTACGCGAACGGTTGCACGGGTCCCAAGGGGGATTTTTCAATCGGCGAGAAGAACATACTTTGCCAATCCATTTCTGCCATCTCTTGCAAATTATCACCCCGAGCAAACGCACGATACGCGACCCCCCGTCGAGAACTGCGCTCCTCTCGGCTTTCCTTTATGAAACTCCAACATACTTTCCTCGACACCGCGACCAGTGAATGATGCGACCTTAAGAAAAGAAAACACCATGCTTCCTTCTTCTTCCTCCCTTCTTTTTCTTTCTACCCCTTACTTCCATCGACTTGGCTGATTAATGAAATCAATGAGTTTGTGTTTGGACGAAATTGGATATCGGTTCCTTACGCCGCATCGTTGCCAAGAAAAATTAGAACCTGATGAATCGTGATCGGTGGGTGCATGGTAAGGTGCAGAGAAAGTAACGAAAAAATATCAGTCATATTTCAAATAATTAAATATGTATCTTATCTTTTTTAAGTGAGTGAAAATGATTTCAAAGAATCGTGCATCGGTGCGTCAGCACGTGGAACCGCTGACAAAATTCAGCAAAGTCTCGTGAAGCTGTTTTTACTGTACGTAGTAAAGGAATCGAAGCGATTTTTCGTCGGGCTTCGGTAGAAATCACGCCTCTCGGTGACGTATCGCCGCGAAAGCAGCCATTTTCCTCTCGTATTTTTTATTTAATAGCCAGCAGGCTATCGTGTATCGCATTAATACGCCAGCCACACCGCAGTAGCGGTAAAAGAGGGTCGTGGTCAGGAACAACCCCCGCCACCGGTAACCCGTAATCATAACCAAGCTATTTTTCTTCCTGCTACCTCTCTTACTATACTCCACTACCAGTATATGCGCACACGGTTACATAAAATTGGATATAATTTTCATTTTTGGACAAGCAACGAAATTTTTCACATTCATTTTGCTTCAATTTGATACGCATACAAATGGACATAAAACACATGTTATTTTCTGGTACTTTTATTTCATCAAATGGTCTCAGACTTGTTGTGCTTGAAAACCGATCATCCGATATGTAACAACTTAATATGTACATGCGTGTTGTAGTTCAATTCTGATCGGTACTTACCGATTCAAAGTTGAAGCCTCGAGTTATACGGAGGCTCGCCTTGTACCTCCTCGTGATCGAGAATTCAGTATAGGTTCAACGACAGGAAAACAGCCAGGACGAAGTTGAGCAATCAGCCAGGAGGCAGACATGCAAGCATCAGCAACAAGTAAGGAGGTTGAATCTGCTGCTCAAGTCGACGGTGAATCGTTTGCGTGGAGCAGTCTTCGATATCCTTCGAACAGTCTTTCTTCAAATATTTCCGATTAAAATCATTTCTGTTGCTCGAGGCTTGTGATATTTTCAAGAAGCAGTCATTTTGAATGTACATAGATCGAGTGATTTTAAGAAGTGTAGAAATTACACTTTGCACATCATTCGTTTCGTCAATAAAGCAAAAGAATCGTACGGAGGAACGACAAGAGGCTATCGCAATCGTTGTTGGGAGCATCGTAAACGTGGTATCGTGATTAATCAAACAAGATAGCCAGTAATCTGCATTGGTGATCGGAAACGGTCGCACGAGAAGAGGCCGAGTGATTCGCTACAGCCACAGAGGCAGGTGTCGAAGCTGGAAAAAGGTGAACCTGCGCCGTCAGCAAAGTGGCAGCCTGTCGGCGATTAAGCGATCTTTTATTTTCGTATCGGACCTGCTTTTTAAGATATCGCGAATGCGGCTGCCGCCTCGTTAATTATTTCGTGTGTCATTAATTATGTAATTCGTCGTTTACCTAATAGGTAGTGGACGGAAGAAAAGAGGTAGGTAGAACGTTTAATTTTGCAGAGCAATTAAAAGAAAAATCAATCCTTTCGAAGAAAACGATAAAATTGATGAAATATTCGAATGAATTCGAATGAAAGGAATTATTTGAAAGGCACATTCTCTTCCACCCCCTAGAGCAGGATCGAAAGTGCAATTTCTGGCCCGTGATTGCGTTCCTTCATAGGGTAACGGTGGTTAAGACTGATAACCGGAAGTCGGGCGCAAGGGAAAACGAGGCGATCGTCGAAGTGTAGTGAGTCAGTGAGACACGGGCTGAGTCAAAGGTAAGTGTAGGTTAGGTGGGCTCATGGGATGGGATAGGATGATATGAGGTTAGGTTGGTGGTCGACGGGGCTCGCCTTGGTCTGGCACCGCTAGTCCTTCCCGTATTGATCGCGTGCTCCTTTCCTCCCTTAGATACCACCCCCTTTTGCGCCTTACGTATCGCCAACTTTCCTCTTACCTGAAACCGTCCATATTGTTAGGACACTGGAATCTTTGCCTCGAATAATCACGTTTCGAATTTTAATCACCTTGAAATAGTTAGGTATTAATCTTGAAAATTTGATTAATAATCCAAGAATTACAAGGAGAGCAGGAAGAACTAACAAACGCAACAAAAACAAAACGAAACCTGGGGTTTAAAAAATTTATTAATCCAGCAGAAAGTTTAAAAAAGGTAAAACGCGACCTACAAAGTGTTAGACACCAGACTAACTGATCTCCACCGACGATTATCAATCACTCGTTTCACCGTCCAAAATCAGCATTAAAAAAATGATCTTCCAGCTAAAATATCTAAACGATAAGACGCATGAAACAATAATAAGGACGATAACAGTCTGCTCGATGGTTTCATGCTTCGGTGTAATTAATTACAAACACCACGGGGGTGGCTTGGGCGAACTTGCAAAAATAACAGCTCACGAAATAATGGGACCTGGCTCGACCAAGAAATCTCCCGGTATCCTTTTCTTTTTTCTCGTTTTCGCATCCTGAAACTCTTAGACGGTGAATTTCCGGGAAACGTCAACCGGTAAAAGTCGAAAATGTTTTATGGCGGTGAATGATTAATCGCATCGGCATCTGCTCCGTAGCAGTGATACAGAGTTGCTTCTTTCGCGTTCTTCTGTACAGGTGTTGAAATTTTTATTTACGGATACCGGTTAAGTTACTTAGGTCAAGTTCCTCTTTTATTTCTTGACCGATAAGATAATCTGCTTTGCGATTTTTCAAAGTATTTGTAGGATTAAAAATCTCATTTGTCAAGTATCCTCTACCTTATACTTAGTTAGACAGAAGAAAAAGATAGGCGCGTTAACAGCTGCAGATGCAGGCAAATTTTCATTAAAAAGGGTTCATTTTACGGGAGACGGTGTTCGAGGTGTTGTTCGTTAACACAGTACGCGTGCAATTAAGACGGCCGGGCCCATTGAAAGACGGCACACGTCGTAGCTGGCGACTTAATTAACGAAAAGTCCGGAAAGTAATCACAACGGCAGGCGACAGGGCACACGAAAAGCGATAAATTCATAAAATTATTGCTCCGTAACCGTTCGTGCCGTGACGAAAGAGTCCCTTATCAGCTACGTACGCACGAACGAACGACAAAGTTGCAGCTGGTGAAGCTGTCGCAGCTGATGAGGCACGCACCCCTTTCAGTTGCACGCGAGACGAGAAAAACAGGGATTCTACTTCCACCCCGTTGAAGCTCGTCGTTCGTTTAGATATTAAAAGATTCCTCAAATTTTAAGGGTTGAAAAGGCATCGTACTTACAGTAAAGGTAACAATAGGTAAAATAAAATACGCAAGTGTGTAGGAACGGGACAGGATAATTGCTGACGTGTAATAGTGAATTATATCTTCATTAAATTGCTCTGTAATTGCATCTAGTACGTGTAAACGCAATCTTAGCGGAATAAAAGGTCTTGTTCTATTTGTATTAATGAAATTCCAACCGCAGTACAGAAACGTACGTCGATTATCTGATTTATGTACATTTCTTTTCTTTTATAACATCCCGCAGGAATTCATTAAAATTTACAAGAATAACCGGATTAATGCTGCAATTAGTAGTACTGTTATCTTATTTTTTAATCTGATTTATTGCTGCAGTACTTGTCTTCATAATAGAAAGCCTATTAAATACAAGCAGCTGTTGTGAGAATTCATTTATCATAAGTTAGTGAAAATATTTTAAATCATCTCGTATTCAAATGAAAATTGATTTTAATACGTGGACATAGGACTTGTAAATTTTTGATTAGAATATGTTTAAAATATTCTATCTGTTGTGCTGCAGATCCTTTGAAGTAGTTGGAAAGAAAAAAAAAATTAGGGAACAAAGTTAACAGAGCAAGGATATCGTGTTTCTTGACCGCCACTTGGCCAGCCACTCGCGAATTGATAGCACGAAACTCGCGTGCCATTTTACAGTCTGAATTTATAGCTGTTTTATTATTTTGACTTAGCTACAGTGTTAACTCTGTGCACACGTAGCTTGTTTCTTAATTTTTCGAGCTACACTTTAATCGTAGCGCATATCAGTCGCTTATCATGTTCTTTCTTTCTTTACATTTGCATTCGTGTCAGCGTTTTGCGTTTGGCTAGGAGAGCTTGACCTGGAAATTTTCTAAATACTCAACCAAGAAGTACTCGATTTTACATTTTCAATTCGGTGTCAATCGACAGCAGGGCTCAATAGCACTCAATTCTGAAATGTTGAATTGTTAATGCAGTGATATATTGCTTATGTTCCACGCAATCGAACACAGTAGCCCTCGGTTGAAGATAAGCGCTCGATAAGCCTATACGGCTTGTAAAGTGTTAACAATGCGCACGAGCGAGGAACGAGTTAGATGGAAAATTGCACAGAGGAGTGCAGCAATAATATCCAGAGAGGTGTAATTCCGATCGTAGTTATTTCTAGGATCTGCATGCCAGCCGGTCAAACTCGTGCCCGTGACTTCTACTTGCATGAGCAAAGAAAATGAAAAGATTTCGTGCGTGAAGTATTATTGGCGACCTGCTAATACACGAGAGTCAAGGTGAGGATGAAGGGGTATTAGAAGTTCACGCTTGGACGGAACACGCGAGTACTCGTAACCGGCACGCGACTGATTTGCTGTTGGTCAGGCTCACGCGAGAAATAAAAATCCATTGATTTTCTTCTGTTATTTCGTTTTCATTCTTCGCTGATCCACTTCCTCGATCCTCTCCGTTATCTGATTTGCGCAGACATTGAGCGGAAGCTCTGGGATAGAATATCAAATTCTTCTTTTGCTTTTCTCCTTCTTCACGCTGCACTGATTGTATGCAAGATGATTAACCCTTTGAGAACGAAGGATTCTCTGCATAAACAACCGCTAAATATTAAACATTTATTAACATTTATATTGCTTTTCAGGTTTCCTTTCTTTTTGTTATTAATTCTACTGAATTGAAATGGAATCGCAGTGATTAGACGGAATCCCGCGGGGTTTGTTGGTTTTATAGAAATGGCCATGTCGGCCATTTCGAAGGGAAGGATCGAAGGAAGGAAGGAAGGCAGGCAGTAGGAAAATCCTATTACAGCTTATATTCGTGGTACAGGGGTTCGATTGAAGCTCGGGGAAACTCACCCTCCACACGGATCCGTATTGACGCGACCGACCGAGAGAAACCCACCCTCTGGATTAACCAATCAAATCGCAGCATCCGTCGCGCATGCGATCCCTTCGATATCCATCCCCTAGCCCTTTCTTCTATGGTGTCCGAAGTTATAGGGTAGCTTTAGAAGGTTTAGGATTTATTTTCAATACTTAAGCGTCAAGTTGCAGATTTCAATTTTGAATTATTTCAAACATCAGGAGATTGGTGCAAAATCGACTCTTTATATTTCAGGACGATATACAATCTGTTCGACGTACCTGGTACCGGCACCTACGGCAACGGCTCGGAATAAAACAAAACAATACACATTTAGCTCGAAACAGGCGGTTAGACGGCCGTTTAAACGACTCCCCCGCGTCGACGTATAGCTAGAACGTTTAAACTAGGACAGATATTTCGGGCCTCGATACGGCCGTTCGAGTTTCCACCTCGTTTTGGTATTCGAAAGCTACTATATCGGCGCATCGATAAATGGGGAAACTTTCCGGAACGTTTTTCTTTCGTCTACCCTTCGTTTTTTGAAGTGAAACCAATTTTATGTTTTCCTTCAAATGATTCGAGTTAAATTTATATATTTTTGCATGCTTGAAATATAAACATAATGACACGGGAAATTTGTTTCAGGCGCTGAACGGGTTCCTGCTCATACTGACTTGCGACGGGGAAGTGTTCTTCGCCACCCACAGCATAGAAAGTTACCTTGGCTTCCATCAGGTACAATCAATTTCTACCTTTCAATCACCAATAATCATTTTCACTTTAATTTTCAAGTGAAATAGAGAAAGTGTAAAACAAGAACACAGTATACCATAATTATAGTTTTTAGAAATTGTCACCCTCTTTTCGAACATCTGTCGCAAACCTTCAATTTCACACAGGACGATACGCGTTAAGTAGGTATCGAAAGTCGTGTCTTTCAGGCAATTTCATGGTACCACATTATCGAAGACAATATGTTTATCGTACGAAACGATTTCATTTTTTCCCGGGGTATTCTTGTTACCGTGTAATTTCAAGCACAGTACCTACACCCATAGCGTTGTTTTATCTTTGACTGTATTGTATCCACACCCAACACTCGCAGGTCACGCCAGACCCGTCAACTTTGTTCTACGCGTGTCACTTTTACGCAAGGACATGCATTTTTCAACGCGAATGAACGATCATCGTGCTTGATCCACTCTTTCACGGATTAGGTTATAAATTTTCATATTTTTCACCGAGTTTCTTCTTCTTTTCTTAATCTCTTTAGACGCTGTTTACAATTGAATCGAATGTAAAGTCATCATGCGTCACCTGTAATCATCCATCTTATACCCTCTCATTTACCATTCCAATGGATTGTACGGACACAAAAGATCATACAATTTTCTATAACCTTTCATCAAGTATCGTTACTTGTCTCTAGATTTAACTTTAGGTTTCTTCACTGAGACTCAATTTGCAATCTACACCTAACAAGCTATTTTATAATTTAAGCGTTCAATTAGAAAATCCTCTCGTATAAGGGCAGAAGCTGTTAATAATCAATTTCGATGCGTGCAACGGTTGAATAAAAATAAAATGTCCGAGGTAAGGGGTATTAAGCGAATGAAAAAAAGGCCCTCGCGAGTAAACGAGCCTTTCGAAAATCGCAAAGAACGGTAACGAAGCGTTCCAGCGGTTGACAGTCGGAGAATAACGAGCGTGAGGGGTAAATAAGGCTCGTGAAATCAGGAAAGAAGGCGGATTAAACGAAGAAAAAGCCATTTGCCTTTCTATCCGGAACAGAGCGATATCGTTCAACCCCCGGTGAACACACCGAAATGCGATCTGCACGCACGGCCAAGCGAGCAAGCTGAGCGAGTAAGCACGCACGCGAGTATGGCACATCGCGTAAAAACCACAGGGAGAAAAAGGATATAGAAAAAAAAAAAAAAGAAGAACGCGGAAAAAAATGACGGATGATGATTTCCCGACCACACGATGACTGTACGCCAGAAACGCACGCGAACACGCTTTTGTGCATATAGGAGATGTAATTGCAGGAAACGACGGATGATGATTTTCCGATTCGATGATCCTCCCGTTTCTCTAGACAAAGGGAGAAACGCGTTACAGTTTCGTGTTACTTCTATAGAAATTTTGATGAGCGATCGCTTGCAATCATCAGGCTTTCCTTACTTCCCTTCTCATGCTTACCAATTTCCCGGTAACCAAAGTTTCTTACCCTCATTAAATGGATAATTTGTTTATATTAAGGAAGGAAAAGCAGGCAGCTAGTTGGCAGGAATAATTCCTTTGGTCGAGTTTCATTGAGACGTAACCAGACACGCAAACGGTTCACACACACGTCACGATACCCAGGGAACGATGATTTTTCGTTCCGATTAGGGTATATTTAAGAGGAACAAAGTGTATCGCGACTAATAAGCGACGCAATGATTTCCTCGGCGGTGAATTTTCTTTTAATCACACTCCTTCCTTTTGCCATGCCGCTTTTAATATCGTTCCATTACGTTTTATCGATGAATAAACAAGAAAGCCTTAGACTTTACCCCCACAATCTTTTTTTACCAATTTAATTCGAGGCTTTTGACGCGATGAACATTCGTGTATGAGTGAAAATTAACCCTACAATCGGTTGCTCGAGGGTTAAAGCTTAATATTCGACTTCCATCGAAGAGTAGACGATCGTGGAAAAGGTACGGCTCGGATAATTCGCACCATGTAGCGACCATTGAAAGACGACGAGACACGCAAACACGATACGTTGTTGCACACATTGTAAAGAGACATTGCTCGCGGCTCGATGATTTCCTGACTCGATGACCGTGTATCCGAGCCGACGTAATCGCGGGGCGTTTCGGATGACGCGATTACACGGCCCTGTAACTCCCGCGGAAAGCGTGGCTCCCTCTCCCAACCCCCGTTAAAATAGGGGAAAAAACCGAGTAATGACAGCGTCGGCTTGCTACGTACCTCGTGGTAATTCACGAGCCATGATTCTGGTCTCTTTAGTTCCGTATCTCACGCGAGAAAGCAGCCGAAGAAAAAGCATCGTATAGCTAAAAACGAGGGCTAGAATAAAGGGGTGGATAAAGGGGATTGTTCAGAGAGTTGGCACGCGGTTTAATTGGCCCTGATAGAGTCGATTCGCTGCTTGTTGGATAAAATTAACCAACTTAAACGAGGAGGCAGCGTAAGAAATAAAAGATTTACCATAAGTTTCTGATATGATTTTGAAAAAAGTTATAAATGTAAAATTTTTTTTTTTGAATAAACGATAACATAGAAGGAACTCGGCGAGTTTCAAGCGTATCCATAGCGGATGAAACGGGTGTCTCGGTTCACCATGGGGTCCTCTCCCGATGAATTCAGCAGCGTGCGCAGGGTTTCCCTGGCCGTCTAGTCGCAACCCCGCTGAGCGTTCGGTTTGCTCTAATTTTAATTAAAGCCTTCTACACAGGATTTCCGTGGTAATCGAGCAGCCCCGCCACCACGGCCATACTTCATTGGGACACGGTGGACGTGTAATTGCTCCGCGTTGCCCTTTATTCCGCCCCGCCAACATGGCTCGGCCAATTTTATTCCCGTCCACGACCGGCCCGCGTATATCAAGCCCAGGCCACGGGCGTACGTGTAATTTTCATTAATACGTGATTTATTCCGACGACGCGTGATTTATGGAATTATATCGACGCCTTCGAGTCGCGTCGTCGCGAGTACACTTATTTAGTGTTTGCTCGCTCGTTCGCATCATTATTGTGCAATGTATTATTATGTTATTTAACGAATTCGTATGCAAATTGCGCCGCGCTATTTTTGGATAAAATAACTGCTGCGCGTATGAATTTTGACAAAATTTTGGTTGGTATTTGATTGACCCACGTAGATAAAGGATAAAGAGCAGCGGAGGTTCACGAACGAGGTGTTCAAAATTCGTTGACCCCACCCTCCCTGTTTTATTTTCCCGGTAGGTTGGCTAACGTTTATTTTTCCCCTGGAACTGAACGGCCGGTTACCAGCGACGGGCGGTTCGCCGGTAAGGTCCGGTAACGTTTGTTACCATTGCTCGTTTAAATAATCTCGAAACATGCATCCGCGGGACGAAGCGGCCGAGTCGTGGATGGCTTTACGATCGGCCCTCATCGTTAATTAAGAGCTTGTAATTATTTAGTGGAGACGCTAGCGCACCCCCGCCGGCATCGAAGCGGGTCCCGCTCCCTTGGCAGACTTGATTTACATTCCTGCGAAGAATGCGAAAGGCCTCGCCTTCCTTTGCTCTATTTTCTTTTTTTCCACCACCCGCCGCCCTTTCCTCTCTCCTTCGCCACATCCTCTATCCTACTTCTCCTTACCTCTTTCCCCCCGGCAATGATGATTACAGAATCGATGCCATTTCCAACGCTGGGAAACAAAGTGGTCAAGGAGAACTTTCAGGTTTCGCTGAAACATTTCTCTCGCAACGCTTGAAATTTTCGAGATGACATTTTTAAAGTTACGTAACAAGATTGAACACAAAAGAAAGGGAACAGCAAACGGATCACAGTTGGATCGCGTTCACGTAAATCCTGAGGACGTTCGTCCGACAGCCAGGCAGATAAATCAGTTGGGTCGCTGGCTGAAATCGACGGAAACACGATTCGGCGTGATCAAAGGACCCTCTACAAATTGAAACAAATCAGCCGGCTAATAATAATTAATCCGCGGGCCGCATTAATTATCGAACGCCGCGGCGCGGCGTCCGGCTTTTACCCTCTTCTCTCCTCCGCGCCTTGCTTCGTCTCATCGTGCATGAGAGACCTCCTCGCGAGGCCGCTCGCTTCGAACACACGCTCGTATCTGCTTGAGCACACGGGCCTGGTGTACGCGATAATGCGAGCCGGAACGCGGCGATACCGAAACTTGAGCTCTCAATTACAGCGCAGAGTTATGACGCGCTCATCCACCCCCTCGATCTCTTTGTATACCCTTTAACAAAGTGGTTGGAAAGAAAGAGAGGAAGATGGCTCTCGCTTCGGGCCAGGACGATCGCGTCTTCATTAGCGGCTATTAATTGTCAAAATGTGCCACATAATTCAGCGAACCGACTATACCTTTCTTGGGTTGCTATTGTGCTTAAACTTTAACACGGTTGATTGATTCCTAATGGGGATGCACCCTTGGGCTAGTTGAAGATCCTTTCTCCTTCGATCCCCTAAAACGAATGCTTTTGCATACCGTTGCATGATCATTAACGTTTCATAGCTCTTCAAGGCTATGAAAGGTATAAAAAATAAAAGAAAGGGAGGATTTTTCCGACGCACGAGAGAAATACACGATAGCTTCATTTGAAAGCACGGCTTTCGGTTGCAGTGACGGGCATCCCGTTATCGTGCAACGTAAAATATCGTAAGACAGGGACGGTGCGAGTAACATGGAAGTCGTGAGATCCGTGCACCGCCGACACGAACGGCTACGAGAAGGTGCAGCTACGCTGTTCCGGCTATCGGAAATGCAACCTACCTCCAAACCTCTCGTTCCCTTCTATCGCGTGATTTATTATATTATTCACGGTTACCGAGACCTCGACAACTATGACCAGCTAATGCTCGATAGCGACAATTCGAGCTACCATTTCAACTATAAACAAATTAACATTTTCTTATAACTTTTATGGTCTAAGATTTGCCTGTACCTATGAAACCTAATGAACGGTGCTTCGCTTATAATTAATCAGTCAATTTTTCTAACGAAGACTTTCATATATTAAAAAATAATGTCTTTAGTTTGAGCATACCATCGTCAAAGGGTTGAAAATCATTTATTTGAATTAAATTCATAGCGCCACCAATGTTACACGTTAAGATATATTGAGAAACCAATGTCGTGGTTTCCGTTTCGTAGATAACAACCCCTTGAGCATCGGCAAGCTACCCGTCTTTCTATTTCTACGAGCTTACAAGTTCCCTGTGCACACCGTGGCAACTACCATCCGTATCATTTCCACCGGTTGATTTATTACATTATTCCAGGCGTCGAAGGCTGGACAACCGTGGCCACGATGCAAACCAGCAGCCTGTTAATTCGATCTATTTTCTAACCTGGTTCAGCAGGCTTAGGGTGCGTGGCGGGCCGATTATCCGATTCACAGTCATACGCGTACTAACCATTCGCCGTACTAAACAGAGAATAAGAGATAGAGGACGATGAACGAGCGGTAGTAGAGTTAGTCTGTTCGTTTTTCTTGAACGAAGGAACGAGGAAACTATGGGTTTCTCGTGCACACGGGGCTCATCGTCCGTCGCTGGCTAGGCCGGATTAATTATGCGCGATAAAGTGCGTCGGACACGTGTAGCTACATGTGCCGTATGTGCGCCTATGTCGCCGTCGCGACGTCACGACCGATCAGATATTTCCTGAAATAATGCCGCGCTCTGCCTCTGACCGTCCTTTTCTTTCCCCCTTACCCTCCAACACCTCTCTAACCCCGTTTTCTACGTTCCGGGGAAGATTTCAAATATCTAGCCTTTATGTTTCAGGGGGTTAATATGGGTCTTTATTGGTCGAAAACTTTGCGCTTTGGGGGAAAATTTATAGAGGGTTGAAAGTTAGGTTTAACTTGAATTTGAGTTGCATAGCTTCTACTTTGTTAGATTGAAGAAACTTTGAGGGTGGCTTGATAGTTCACGAGGGTAAATCTGGTAATTGGAATTTATTTTTTAATTTCAATATTTGCTGCAATCAAGATAGACAATGTTTAGGCTTGTGCTCTGTCGAAGTTGAACGGATCAATACGAGCTCAAGGTGCACTGAATGCAACTCCGTGAAATGCGCTTGTATCGTGCACTTTTCAGGAACGATAGAATTAATAAGTACATAATGAGATTTTAATGGAATATGTATACGTAATGCAGGTATATTACGGTAAATGTATTCACAGGCAATAAAATGTAAATTTTTATTAAATCAAACTGACCAGAACTATAATTTTGTTAAAGATTACATTAGTAGATATATGTAACATGAAACTTAAAGAAAGATATACGTATGTAAAAAGTAAAAAAAAATGATCTTTGCTGGATCTTAGCAGAGCGTGGTTTCGATCCACGGACCTCTGGGTTATGGGCCCAGCACGCTTCCACTGCGCCACTCTGCTCTTATGGTTCTGGGTTCCTTAAGATCCCACGGATTTTATTAATCAAAGGGGTGAAAGTGGATCAATAATTTCGAGCTCTGAATCTAAGAATACGATCGCAGATTTCTTAATAATAAAATAATATTTTAATTACACAAGGGAGATATTTATTTGCTCATTAAATTTACGTAACTGTTCTCGATAAAAACTTGGAAATATTGCAAAATTTCTTATATAATAGATAATGTTTGTTCTTATCATAGAATTTTCTTTCTTTCACGAACTAGTCGAGATAAGAGAGGATCTTACAATCTTACTGAAACGATTATACAAATGGAAATCAAGTTTTTCCCGATCTAATCTCCTGGAAAATTATTTTCAAGGACTTTTCAAGGAAGCAGAGTGGCGCAGTGGAAGCGTGCTGGGCCCATAACCCAGAGGTCCGTGGATCGAAACCACGCTCTGCTAAGTTGAGATTAATTTTTTAGTAATTTTTTTTTAACGTTACGTATCACATCTTACCTAAATAATTCCACGTTAACTTTGTCATAACTGATCTAAAGCAATAAACATTCCTATTCAGATATCGTTATAAGCAAAATGAAAAGAAATGGAAAAAATTAAAGCCACCCCTTTTTTAGCAGAGCGTGGTTTCGATCCACGGACCTCTGGGTTATGGGCCCAGCACGCTTCCACTGCGCCACTCTGCTTCGTTGAAAATTGTTGTTAAAAATTGCACCATGTTGCATTATAATTTATTTATAAATATACATGGTGAAACGTGAAATGCATTCGTTTATAAGTCTCCAAGATCTTCAGGACCTATAAAAATTTCATAATTCTGTATTTTTCTCATTGCAGTCCGACATTGTCCATCAAAGCGTCTACGAGTTGGTGCACAGTGAAGATCGAGAAGAATTACAAAGGCAGTTGATGTGGAATTCTTTTCTACCCGCAGAAAGTGCGAGTCTACCTCTTCACGACGCTCTCTCACCCCAACATAGTCATCTCCTAGAACGCAGTTTTACTGTTCGCTTCCGGTGCCTTTTGGACAACACATCCGGTTTCTTGGTAAGTTCACCCTTTGACCGTCTGAAGAACACTTTCTTCACGCTCTTAGTAGCGCTTCCAGGGATACAAAACAGTAATTAATAATTTCACTGTCGTAAAAGAAAAGAGGGACCGCTGCTCTTCTCTCAAGTAATTGCTTTTTTCCACCGTCTGTCCCTGTAACACGACCCTCTTCAGCATCTTCTAGCGGTCGCAAAAAGAAGAACGAGTCATTTGCAAGCAGGAATGTGAATAGTTGGTTAATTAAACTCGCGTTCTCATCGACAAGTAACATCGCTTGTCAGTGACACTTGAAGCATTCCCGCCAAAAATTCAATCGATAATCGAGTAGCCCGCATGCCTGATCCTACATTCGTTCCTCAACTATTAAACGTGACTTTCATTCATTCATCGAAATCTTCACACACGGTCACGCGACTAAGAAATTGATCCTTTAACCCTCGTGTCGTCGGTATCCTGCGAAAAACTATCCTCGTTACCACTTTCCACCCTCGATACGTGGTCGCGGGGCTATCGATCCGATTTTTACGGCATCAAATTTTCATAATTGCCAGCGTGAGCCGCGTTTAACCCCCGTAGCTCGCGATAATGCACTTAATTGCGAAGGAGAGGGTTGCTCTTACCCCCCTTGCAACTGTAATTACCATGTGTTTTTCTTTGGCGTCTGGTACCTACTATTAGGGGGACTTTTTCTTTCCGGAAGTTGCATTAGACTGTGCACATTTATACATATATATATATATATTTTCTTAACATGTTCTACTAACATTCTGATTAGAAATTCCTCCAACTTCTGCTGCCTAAATTAACTTTGTTGGCTAAATAGAATTGGAATACCCGTATTCGTTGGATTGGCAAGAAAACATCGTGGTGTGGATTTCGATAAAAACGGAGGACGGTTTATTTCGCCGCGAAGAATGTCGACTGGGTCTGGTGTCCTCGCCGTAAAGCTTTTACGATTACAGTTTCATTTTCATAAACGTCAGAGTCGCGGAGTTTTTGCACGTTAGCCAGTGGTCAGGTCGGATAGTCAGCTCGTCGTTGCCCTTTATAGCCTACGGACACTATTTGTCTCGTCTACCTCTGTATTTGCTGGCTGTTTGCCGTAAGATAATTAGTGTTTTGTCGACTAGCGGCGCGCCAGTCAAAGGCTGAGCCTGGTTTTGTACAACCTTTTGATTTACGCTCATTTTGGTGAACGATGGAGGACATTTCAGAGCATAATTTTGATTTGCTCCCGAAAGTTTATTCGATTGTCTTTTATTTATAGCGTTTGGATATTAGGGGACGCGTGAAGATACTCCATGGTCAAAATCGAAAAACCGAAGAGCCACCTTTGGCATTGTTCGCTCTGTGCACACCGTTTGGACCACCGTCGCTCCTGGAAGTTCCACAGAAGGATGTGATGTTCAAAAGCAAACACAAACTGGATTTGGCGCTTGTGTCGATGGACCAACGAGGAAAGATGCTGTTAGGATACTCGGACGCGGAGCTAGCAAATCTTGGTGGCTATGATCTAGTCCATTACGATGATTTAGCCTACGTGGCGAGTGCTCATCAAGAACGTAAGAACACTGATCTTCTTTCTCGCAAAATTTCAAGACGATTCGTCTAACATTTCCAGTTTCGATGCTATTTTTCAGTGTTGAAAACGGGAGCCTCGGGTATGATAGCGTACAGATTTCAAAAGAAAGACGGTGGATGGCAGTGGTTGCAGACTAGTTCAAGATTAGTCTACAAGAACTCGAAGCCTGACTTTGTCATAAGCACGCATAGGCCTCTTATGTACGTATAATCGGGCGTTAAATGTCCTAGTGGAAAATGAAAATTTAACTATCTTCGATTTCATAGGGAAGAGGAAGGTAGGGATCTTCTTGGAAAACGGACGATGGATTTCAAAGTTAGCTACTTGGATGCTGGATTGACCAACAGTTATTTCTCGGACAACGATAGTTTGACGGGCTCCGTAATGACGCCGACGCTTCCATCCCAACCGACGTCCCAAAGAGTGAACAGGCGGTACAAGACTCAACTGAGAGACTTTCTGTCGACCTGTCGAAACAAACGAACCAAATTGTCGGCACAGTCGTCGGTTTCCCCGCCAGTCACACCCACGGTCGCGTCCGTGGACTACCTCGCAGCTGATACCAGTGCTGCAGCTGCAGTTGCAGCCGCGTACAGCAATCTAAACACGATGTATCCGACCGCATACGCACCCACAGCAGTCACAGCTAGCACTGACCCTTCGCTGACTACCTACATTGGTCATACAGGCAACTACCATCAGACCTTGTATCCCGCGACTGCGTTAGATAATAGGTAAGTCTTGGAACGAGGATGGTCAAATGCTTCTATGACTGTTCATTAAACTGATCATTTCCCCAGGTACCTCACCGCAGCGACGGAAAACTTGTTCCAATACAGGCCTTTAGGCTCTTACTATCCAGAGTACCACACGAGCACCGCGTACAACGGCTTCATCGACGTAAGTCTACCCACCTACGAGACGCACCAGTTGACTAGCAAAGCGGAAGAGAAGTTGTACTGCCAGCAATTAGGTGAATCTCCAAAGTACGGCTACGTCGAGACCAGACACCCCAGTAGCGTCAGTGGTTCTCCCTATGCTGCCAGTCCAATCGCGAGTGCGTCGACGATGCACACCGCGACAGCCGACATCAATATCGTTCGTGCTGGAAGTAGACATTCCCTTGAAGGTGGTGCTTCGTCCAGCAACTCCGCCGGAAGCTCGCCTGTAACTGGACCAACGAACGGCGTGCTTACCCCAAAGATAGAGGACGTGAAGCCCGAGGTGTACGCCAACGAGGCACCTCGACAAACAGTCTTGATGTGGGGTGCACCGCCTTCTCGTACTCCTCCAAGGAACAACGGCAGCTACAGTCCACCCACGCCACACTCCACGCATTCATCTACCCATTCGACCAATGCCGCTGCCGGAGATCCCTTGAAATCCCTGGCGGAAATGAACTCGATGAATGGGGAGTGCAAATGGAGACAGACTTCACCCAGTGAACAACAAACAGCCGCACCCAGTTCACCCAGAACCAAGCCACAGCCACAACCACAGCACCAGCATCATCAACAGCAACAGCAACAACAACAGCAACAGCAACAGCATCAACAGTACCCGGTGACAACGTCACAGTATCAAGCAGCAGCGGCGGCCGCGGCCGCGGCTGCGGCTGCAGCGGCCAGCACTATAGGATACACGCACTCTCATCCGGGCCATGGCCACGGGGAAGCGGGCTCCGAGGTATGGCAAGGAGTGCAACACCACCACCACTACCAGTACTATCCCTACCACCATCACCACCCCGCACCACCAAGGCACGCGCCCCAGTGAGTGTCACTGCCGCCTCACAGATTTTACGATAATTGTTCCATCGAGGATACGAGATCGTGCTGGCTCTTGGGTTTGAACATATCTATTTCGTTCCAATTCTTTTCCACATCAAAATTTATCTAAAACTTAAGAATTTCAGTGGATATCCGGATACCTGATTGCCCAGACAAGGGTTAAATAAAAGGAACCCAAGAAATCCAACATAAGATCATAAAAAACATACACACATGATTTTTGCATATTAGTGAGAAACAATGTTTAGAAAATTTACATAATAGCGGAACAAGTATATTAAATACGTTTACTGTTGGGCATGCATGTTCCCAGCGATGCACAAATTTTTTGCAATCATTATCATACATTGCATGTCCACGTGTTTATTGTTCAAAGTAATAGTTTCTTTTCCTTATGTTGTTTTAAAGTTCAATTTCTATTTTTTTTTTTTTTTTTTTCAATTTGATAATATATCAAGATTAGTTGCACGGCATTCGAGGCTGCAGCCGAATAAACGAAAAGAACCGTAAGGACAGGGTCGAAGGAAGACTGAAAGGGGTTGCGAATAACGGGTAAACCCACTTTCGGTTGCAGCACATCCCCGTCAGCTGTGGGAACGGGGACGGGAGTCGGCATGGGCATCGACAACAACACCAGCAACAACAACGTCTTGTACCACCCTCCGCACCACCACCCACAGCATCAACACGTGGTGGGATCATCAGCGGGGGCAATGGGCCCAACTGTCCAACAGATTCCAAACCGGACGCCGGGAGTCCTTTGTTGTCCATCTCTGAGGTGACTAACACCTTGCTCAACCAATAGTCTCTTCGTCGTCTCAGCATCGTTTCGTTTTGGTGATCAAGGTGATCTTTTACTTACGATTAATTATCGTGTCTTCTACCTTTATAGGATGACTTTCAGGTGATACGATAATGCTTTGGAATCGAATTTTTTCAAAACGAATATAATTTGCTATTTGAATGTTCGCAGGTATCTCTCAGGAGATAGTTTCACCGGGTCGGATGACAAAACACGTGACTGTATCATATAGATAATACCGGTTAACATTTTTAAGAGTATTCCTGTGTAGCGTTGTATCGTACTCATTGCAGTTAACGCTCGACGTTGCTACGACCTATGTATGTACGCTTGATTTACGTTAATTCATTCGTACTGTTAAGTTTGCAACGAGAGTCTGTTGCTCGTGATCGTCGGAATATCGAGCAACGAAAGAAAATTAAAGACTCTCGATTCGGCTGAACCTCAGTCTTGCCAATGTTTTGTTAATAAGTTTGTAATTTTTGTACTTAATTAATTTATATACGGCTATTTATCTACCGTGCGCGCGATTCGACGTTTAGCAAAGCTAGACGAGCCTTCCATAATTTTAGACGTACTATCATTTCGCGAACTTTTTTTTTTCTCCTCAACAATCGTCCGTTATTCGGGAACGGAGAAGACTGCGCGAAGAATAACGATAAAGAAGATTGAAAACGGAAGTTCCAATTATCTTCCTGTAACGTCGAAGTATTTTTGTTACAGGAAAGACCCGAGTGATTTCAATGCTTCGAATCTCCAGGCAGAGATAGAAAAGAAAGATAGATAAACGTGAATTTATTTTACGTATTATACATATCAGAATGGAAGAGAAGAGAACGACAGATGGTAATCGTTCTTTTTTCTATTGCAATCTTGATATAAATATATATATATATAAAAAGAGATATATATGTATAGATAAAGATATATGTATATTGTATTATTTGCTGGTAGGAACGTTTCAAATCGTACGGATTTCTTCTCCCTTCGCGTCCTTTGAACCTTGATCTACAATTTATCCTGTACTTTACCTAATTCATGTCGTTATAGTGTTATACAATATACGAAACTATTTTGCTATGATTCTTTGTAAACATCCACTCCGCTGATCGGCTTTTTACGATAGAACGAAGTTCAAGACGCGTCGAGATTGGTCATTAACGTGATTTCTTCGTTAACAGATAACTACAACATTTTATTTCCGACAAAGACATTGACACATCTTGTCGATAATTGCTAGTACAAAAATAATGGTGAAGGATATACATATCAATCCGCTCAGTTAAATTTATGATCTATTTTGTTATTAAGTTTTAAATTGAACTCGAAAAAAAGTGGGGACAGTGTTAATAACGAGTCTCGAAGCCCATATTGTAAATTCATATCTTCGATCGTAACAGCTTGAAACTACGTTTCTTTGCAATATCGTATGAAGATCTACTATTTTAAGTAATTGAGTCTAGTCCATACATCAAGCGAATTAACGATATCTATTCTGCTGAAATTGTAAAAATATTCTCACTAGCGATCTTTTCACCCTTCGCCGACAATCCATAAATAAGCTATGTATAAATAAGCTCCAACAACCCTTAAGGCTAACAAGCTTTTATTTCAGGTTTATCTTTCAGAAACTAATATTTAAAAAATGAAAGTTAATTAGGGCCTCAGCGACCGACCACCATCCAACAAGGGTCAATATTTTTCACAAGACTAAAAGATGAAAAAATACTGTTTTAACCCTTCAGTATAGAATTAAAGTTTTAGACAAAGTTAAATAGAGCAACACCTAATTTAACTATTTAAGGGTTGATCGCATCGGTGAGAATATTAGAGCAATTTTAGCGCGTTCGTGTATATTTACTGTATATTTAAAATATAAGGTATCTTCTAACGAGCATAGGTAAGATTAGTCGATATAGATGATTCCCTTTAGCTATCTACTTAGATCAAAATACCGTACCTTAATTTTATAGCAACCAGTATCTGCAGACAACATGCAATTCAATCGTGAGCCCCGTATCTCGATATTGGATCGTTGTTTGAACATTTTATCATCGACTATTTCCTATTTTTTACATCGAACACAACGAGCGTTTTATTATAATTAAAGAAATAATATCACCGAGTGCCTGTTTCGATCGAGAGGACATATCGAACCAGCTAGACCAATATTTCCTGATTTCTAACTATAAAATATTGTCGTGCATATCGAGAAGAATGAAATAAAATTTCAGATACTTATGAATATTTGATCAGGTTCTTATGGTATTTAATCGAAATGAACTTTACAGAATTCTTCAACACTTATAAATATTTGTAAATAAATCTTCTGATTACACATTTCATATACATCATTTTGCTTGGAAATACTTTATTAAATTCATTGGTTCTCTGTTTCTCTTTACAAGTATCCATTTTCACAGAAAGTTGAAAAACCTGCATTGAAAATTCTTAACACAATATGATTAGAAAGAACAAAGGAGAAACATTAAAAAGAATGTTTATACAAAGAAAATATTTCGCTGTTAATTACAGCGTTACATATCTATTGTCTAGATGAATCAAGGTATTTTTCATTTACAAATTCACATAAAAATACACTTTTTCCATTCGAAAAGTTGTTGCTCAAACAAAGAGGCAAAATTTAAGAGACATTGCGCAGATATCTGTATTTCATTGAATCATCGTTGGATTTTAATCAATATATTGCATTCTGTTCTGCAGATGTTCTTTTTTTATACATATATATAAAATATATACATATATCAAAAAATGTATCGAAGTGAAACACGATATCATGCCAAACAAAAACTTTGACTCTCTCCTCGATCCACTCCATCCACTTTAATCTCCGATAATATTCTATATAGAATCTAATTACTTATTAACACTACTACTAAAAAAAAGCTAAGCTCTACGAAATGAAATTTTAAAACTGTATCAAATGTTTATATGAAATAAATTATAATAATGCAATAGAACGGACGTCCTCTATTCTGTATTTTGTACATTCGACAAAAAGGAAGGAGAAAGGATACCGCCTTAAGTAGAAAATTATTACACTAAAGATATCTAGGTGAAGAATATATCATTCCATTATTACTCTGAGTATATTACTTTTCATTTTTTTTTTTTTTTTATTTATTTCATTTAAAAATGACTCGTTACACTTATCATAGCAATATGTATGTAAGGCCCGAACTTACAATACATTAAAATCATCGGTTTTGTATTTTCTCTTTTTTATCAAACGTATGTCGAACGTGTATCAATACATGATAAACCGAATCAATTATGTAAATCTTCGTACTTGTTTATGTATGTGTCTGTGTGAGTTTGTGTTTTAGGGTTTGTAACAGTTTCGTATCTACTCGTTCGTACTTAATGTGAACAATCAACTGGATTCAAGAAAGAGATGGATTAAAAAACAAGGAAAAACCAAACTGTCACGATTCCTAAATGCTTTCGAATGCGGGCAATTCTCAAAGATCAAAGGTGTGACAATTTATTTGTACCTGATCAGTTTCTCTTACACGAGCTTTTCGACGATGTAACAACGGTTCGGTGTTTTTTCTTTATGGAAAGTTAATTAATCGACATTCGACACAGTTCTTTCTCTCTGTCTCTCTTTCACTCAAAAAAACACGCGCTCTTATTCTCTCTCTCTCTCTCAGACGGATGTTCGAGTTATTCTAACGCGATCGTTCGAAATGCATGCTAACAATCGTTCATATAAAACGGATACATCGTTATTCAAGTAATGCCATCGAGAAAGTAAAAACGGAAACAGAAAAGAAAAAAGAGATTAGCTATGCAGAAATATGTAATTCTATAGATAAAAAAGGAAAAAGAATCTTGAGTTGATTGATTGGAAATTAATTACAAACGATCTATGGACCAATATACAATTAACGATAACACATTATATATACATAATTTGTATATATATATATATATATATATATATTTATATTTTGCGAATGAACGCTAATTGGAAAGAAACGAGACCTACATCGCTAAAATGTTCGCACGATGGAAAATTCTCAGAGATGGACGATCAGAATGAAAAATCTGTGCTTCCGGTAATGTTTACTCTTTCTCTTTTGTGTATTTCTATAAAGAACAAAATGTATATATAGTATTTCGTTTCTTCACACTGGTTCCGTGCGTACGAACAATTTGAAAAGTGACTTAATTAATGAATATATATGTTATGTATATACAACCTTGGCTAGAAGTTTGGGTTCAGGGTTCAATTCCTGTACCGATGATGCGACGATTTCTTACCGTCCCGATGATTCGACTGCCTTGATCTTGATCGTGATTTTCTATGATCCCTAGATCTAGATCGAGTCCTTCTCTTACTCCTGGAAACGTAAGAACGCGAACGTTTTCGTCCTTTTGATCGTGATCGTGATCTGTCTCTGGCTCTTGATCGTGATCGTGTTCTTCTTTTGTCCCTGCCACGAGATTTACTTCGTCTAGTTGAATAGGAACGACTTCTTCTTCGACTTCTAGAAGGAGAACGAGACTTCCTCTTTCCCCGGGAACGCGATCGTGACCATTTCCTGGTCGCGGTACTGGATCTAGATCTACGACAACTTCTCGAGCGAGATCTACGACGTTTACGATTTCTAGATCTCGATCTGTGCTTCTTCGTCGACCTATAATTGCTCGAAGACCTTGAACGATATTCTTTACGTGACTTAATCGATCTAGACCTTGATTTGCGTTTCCGGCCACCACGGTCGGACGAACCACGGGACCGTGATTTTCTGCTTCTCGATTTACTTCTACTTTTGGATTTCCTCTTTCGATATTCACGATCACGAGCTTTGCTCGATCTTTTCTTCTTGGACGAGTTACGACTCGAGTCAGAGCTGCTCGACTCGGACGAGCTAGATTCGGAATCGGCCGACCCTGATGGAGTATTGGTCTTTGCCGTATCAGGCGGCGCTATTTGATGCTGTGGACTTTGTCCGCCGCTCGACAAAGTTTCAGACGCTTCTCTTTGATTATTTACCGTTTCTTTTTCATCAACTAAAGGTAGTGATGTTACGGAGTTACGCTTAATGATGCAATTTGACCACTTAGTTTTATTATATTTCGAAACATACCTGAGTCCTTGCAGCTTGTATTACCAGTATGATTTTCCTGTTGTTTATTATACTGCTCCTCGTAACGTTGCTCTTCTCTCTCATCCTCCTCGGCCAGACGCGCCTCGATTTCCTCCTCCGTCTTTTTGAACGCTTGCTGACGCCGTTTCACCGTTTCCTTCAAACAATCAAACATTCCTTCTCGTTAATACCAGCTTAATTACCATAACATAATTATATGTATATACGTACTATCAGCTCATCGTCGCTGTCGTTGTTCTGAGCTTGGACGTGATCGTTCTGCTCCTCCTCAGACTCGCTGTTGCTGTCGCCATAGATGCCCAGACCTACACGAAACGAATAGTTTATTACACGGATTATCGAATCCTACCGCGTTTCTTGTTTTTCATCAAAGTAAAGACATACGCTCGACCACTAAACAGACTGCCGCTATGATTGAAAAATGTCCTGAAAGACATTCTTCGTTTCACGAGAACTTATTAAGCGAGCATGGCTACCGAGAGCGAGCGGTACAAAATGCACACGGACGCATTTGACAAGTGACTGCATGTACATGACCGGTTCCTAGGATGACCGTGCGTTGAAGATTGTAAAGGCATTAGCGACTTACCAAGCTTACGAGTGATCTGAGCAAGAGGGGCCATGTTGTTGAGGGATGCGACGGGGGTCTCTCCTGCAGGGACTTACAATACACACGCATTTAGTACCCAATGACTAAAAGCTATATCATCAGGATACCCCCCAAAATTAAATGGTACTGATCATCGATACACACAAGGAGAGCCGATCCTGCATTCAATCCTTATAAATCACCTTAAGCAATCGTTTACGGAATTCCTTTCGATTATAATCAACTGAAACTGCTTTAGACTAGACGTTAGTAGTGGAAAAAAAAAACATATATTAACAATTAATTTATATAGAGCCACAAGAGGTAACTCGATATCAATGAAGAATAGATATCGAGTAATCGTGTACAATATCAGAGGCACGATATGTTTTTTTTTTTTTTTTTTTTTTTTTTTTAAATACCTACGATATACGTGTCGAAAATGAAAGAAAAATTAGAGGAATGAGACTGAATAGAATCTGAAGACAATGTGAAAATTTTTGCAGCTCGAACGGGCAATTCTTTTTCGTGCTTTTAATTCTGATCCAATGAATAAAATTGGAGCGTTTCGAAAATTTGAAAATATTCTCAAACTTTTTATTACGCTAGTTACATTGAGCCTTATCAATGTAACTTCATATACCACATCACATTTTAGATGCTTTAAATCGTATCAAATTGAAAATTTGTTATTGTCACAAAGATAATTGGGCGGCAAGTAATTCTACGTAAAAAACAACAAAAGACTGAAAATTATTACTTATACTATGTGTATGTAAGTCCTGAAAAAATAAAGTAGGATATCCTGAAAATCATCGAATAAGTAACTCTATGAATTGAGTAATACTCTGTTTAATATTTAAAAGCTTATATTACACAAATGGGCAAATAAAATTCACCGCAACACTGCACGAGACTCATGTGAATCAGATTCTGTGCACTGGTGAGCGAAAGTATGAAATATCAATTTGTTAGTTGTATCGTGTGTATCTGGGGTACCTTTGGCACGTGCGCGGCTCCAAACCTCTCTGCATATAGAACCAATTTCTTCGTTTGTTACCTCCAGAAGAATTTCCGTAAGCGATCTCCGAACCTTTAACATCTGACCAACAATAATTTGTGCTACAATGAATTAAACGAAAAATCGTCAAACAAGTACAATAAATCTTGATGATATTCACCACGTCCTGCAGCACCTCTTCTCTGGTTCGCTTCGGTATGGGTATAGTCACACTGGAAGTGGTTGGACTTCTATCTGTATGCCCGTGCGCTTCTGGTGAATCCGCATCGCGAAACCGTGATTTCCGTGGTCGAAGAAGGATGTCCGGGGTCCGTTCGAAATTTTTCTCGGTGACCTGTTGATTACGTGCTCCCTCATCGGCATCCTGCTCTGTTTCCTTATCAGAATCAGAGTCCTGTATATCGAGCAACAGAGACATTATGCAACTATGTTCTAACCGATTGTTCAGAATGCATTCGAACACCTACGAATTTGCTTTTAGCAGGATTCAATACTGCTCGAGCCTCGTCTTCGGCTTGTTTTCGAGCTTCTATTTCCTGTTTCCTCAGAACCTCTTGCCTTTCCCTTTCAACAGCTTTTTGCTTTTCTTTCTCCATTTTTTCTAAACCCTCCCTAATCCATGCTGGCAATTGCCTACGTTTTGCCGCGTCTAAAATCAAAATATTCTCGTCTCGTGAAAATTTTGATCGGGACCAGGAGGATTTATTTTTTTATCATTTTTAATACAATTGATCAGGGTATAACCTATAGTTGTAGTTGTATCTTCTTCAGGCGTTTTCTCACGATCTTCTCGACACCTTACAGCGTCAATGGGCCTCATATGCGCTGTTCTGTTTGTGTGTCTAACTCCTTTCATAAAAGGGGGTGGTTGAGGGGGTATTGCAGTGGGTGGTTCTCCAGACCAATAACTAGACACCTAAATATAAAAGGCTCATTATCTGTAATTCCAAGTTTAGTCACCTCCTAGCCAAAAGTCAATGAAAAAGTACAAAGAGTTTTATATTATATTAGAAATACAATTTTAACCTGACTATAAGGTTGTGTTGGAGGTACTGAATTATAAGAATATAATGATGGTGCTGCTGGAGGTGGTACATTAAATTCAGATGTTGTAGATATAGTTGGAGCAGGTGGGACAATAGGTACTGTAGGAATTCCCATAGGTTTCCCATCAGAACCTATAGAAACACCAGGGGGAGGTACACCAGTCCATTCCCAAGTACCTGCTCCAGAACCTGAGGTATTCCAATGGCCCCACTGATTCCACTGACTCCAAGCTTCAGCTGGCATTAAAGAACATGTATTATAAGGAAATTTTATAAAAGAGAATCTTGTATTTATAAATTAGATATCTTCTGTAAAATTTCAAATAACAAAAAATTAAGTTAAAAATATATCCAAAATTATTGGATTGGTTGAAATTTCTGTTTATACCTGAACCACTAATTGTGGGTGCAGGTGGTGCTGGTGGTACATCATCCTCTTTTGTATCCATATCCATAGGAGCTTCTCCGCTCCCATCAGTCCCAGCACACACAGGATTAATAGTAGGAGGAGGTGGTGCTGGTGGCACTACAGTTTCTTTCATTTTGATCCACTGCTGAGCTAATGCTGCCCAATCAACTGAATAGCGATGAATAGTTTTGTATGATGATTAAATATTGTATAACAATGGTAAGATATGAATCGCATATATACCGGATACTTCTTACACCATTTACCTTGATCATTACTCATATTTTGGTAAGCGGAAGGATTTAGAGCCCACTGGGTTGGGTAATCTTTTCCTTCAAACATATCTCCGCTCATTTTTATCTACTAATGCCCCAGACAAAAGCAATAACTATGAATTAACGCACTTTAACCTTGTATGCGTGTAACACAGTCATTGGTTAGCAATGTGAACTTAAAACTACTGCTAAGTACGATATAACGGCTACATAGTGGAATAAATACTTTGATTTGGTTACTGTTTAGCACTTTCACAGCACCGATCAATGTTTTAATACACTTCGAGGCGCCCTATTGCAATGTATATTGCTATATCTAATGTACACGAATTACAGACACGACTTACGAAAATTTATCGCGCTCGGAGTAGCGATTCAAACAGTAAATTAACGTAGTTGATTCACGTTAAACTGATACAATAATACATTTTTTACGTACTTTCTCCTTATTTAATGTCTCAAACAATCACCAAACTACTTTACCGGAAAATATCACATCTCCGCCAACGTTGGCCGCGAGGTGTCACAATTCACATGAAGGCAAATTTTTACCTAAAAAACTGCAAGTGGCGCCTCCACCTGGCTTGTAGTTACATGTAAACGGGATCGAGTAACCGGAGGAGGGAAAAACGACGGCGTCTCTGTTCTTGTGCAACTTTTCTACAGTATTTTACATCAGGTAATTAGCAAATAAATGCTCTTTATACAATAATTTGTTAACCTTTATTCGAAACAAGCATGAATGATTGATGTTTTCTAGTTTTATATCAGTATGAGCTTTGAAAAAACCATCGCTGGTACAACGACGGGACGCGCAAGTTTGCTCGTAACTAAAAGTGTTCTAAACTTGGTAAGTATGCATTTCTTTTCGTCTACATTATTTTTAATATTGTTATTTGATGCATGTCATTGATAGAAAATGTTTTATTTACTTCTAAACTCAAAGAGAAATAAGAATCAAATTTCAGTTAAGAAATAATTGTAAGGTTAAAAATTATACTGAAATGAGTTGTAATAAAAATAGAATATACGTAAATAATCAATTTCAACAGTTATAATTTAATTAATAACCAAAATATAAAATAAAAGACCGTAGTTAAATAAATGTAATAGAATAATTTGAAATTCTAGTCAAGGTAGGCGGTATAGTCTGTTCTACGATTTCGTTGATTTTTCATTCGCGATAGATGTCTACAAGGTAAAACAGACTACAAATTTAGTTCCTCGTTTTTTCTGTAGGGCGCAGTTCGTTCGTTTTCTGCGCTCGATTATTAAAGCAATATTCCCCTTTATTTATTACATAATTACAATAATGTAAAATATAATACAAGACGGGTGTTGCTAAAAAAAGTACATTATTCGATTTTTTCGCTGATATTTATTGTATGAACGATTCCATTACGATTAGCATTGCAGTTTCGAAACTTCTATCGATGGCTGTGATTGGTCGTTACATGTTGGCGTCCTTTCATTTCGACCAATCAGAGACGTCGTTGCGTAGTGCAGCATTCCTCTTCGAAGCTTCGTTGTGTTCCACGTCTCTGCAACAGGTAAGATTAAATTATCTTCAAACATTAAATTAAATTGTCTCTCGGGTGTTAAAAGTACAAAGAATAGAAAGAATAGCTAGAGAGAAGTCTATATTCCTGATTTTTGACATTAATTCGAGGTTATCTTTAAAAATACGTGAGTTGACATTTGTTGCTCTTGCTGTGAATTCGCAATGGAATTGGAACAGCAGAATCTGAATTATTTTCCCTTTATATCAGTAATTTCTTGAACATTATTCAATGTTCTTCGTATTGTTCCACACAATTTGCTGTTTTTAATTTAATAACGTTTTTTCTAGAGCATCGTAATATTATTTCTGTTTAGACCTGTTCGTGTACTTTGTTAGGTATCGGCCGATATACCGACAGAATATACCGAACATTGCCGAGTGTTGCCGAAGTGCCGACCGGTCTACGATGGGAAGGAAGGTCTCGTCATTGCTCTCTCGAGCTTCGAAGTGAGAAGACGTGTTGAGAGCATCCTTCCGTATAAGTAGTAGTAGGTGCGCATTCTACCTATTAAAATATTTTGCATAAATTATAGTTCGATTGTTTATTAGTAATAATTTTATTATTGTTGAATAAATTTTATTTACATAAATTCGTATTTCTTATTTGTTACAGATATTTAATGGATATTGGAAGGACGCCATGACATCTGATATGGGTTTGAATTAGAATTTCGTAAGAATTTATTGTTTTAATTTATTCTAATCAATTATTAACATTTATTATTACTTGTTTTTTATTGAGTCGTTGTTAATTGTAAGTATTTTTGATAATTACTTGCTACCAAAGTCAAGAAAGAAAAGATTAGAGACATTTTTTTTCTTTAACCAATTCATAGAGAAAGAATAATTAATTTTTCATTTTATTAAATAATTTCGTCCAGTATTTTAATACATTTGTTTTAAACTAGAACAAAATTGAAATAATTCGTATTCTACTGCAAAGCTTCTCTTCTGCAATTATTAATTATTTTAAACAATCTATTTTTGTTAAATCGTAGTAATTATATTATAATATCCAGTTTTCGATGCAAGTGTAAATTAAAATAGAATCACGTTTTTAAATCATATGCTGTTTAAGCATGATTAATTATTGGATTTTGCTTATTGAAAAGAATTAGATAATTTATAAACCATGCCGTAATAGAATTTCCAACAATTTGTAGTATGCTTACAATCTTAACAACAAAAATCCTCTGCTTTAATACAGTATTTTATTATCTTTATTACAAAATGATTTTCTATCGATGTAATATTCATTAAAATAATTATCAACAATTATTTAAAACATTTCATTTCAATCTAGGATCAATATTCAGCTTTAACAATATTTGTGCTCGTCGAATATATTTCACGAACATAGATATTTTCATTTACAAGCCATTAATAACAGTATTTCCGTTACGAACGTTCAATAAGAAGAATGTTGTTTTGTATATTTCCACCCAGCCCATCCCTGCTCACTAAGTTTTTCTTTCAGGAATTGTTGTGGCCGCGCGCAATGCGGTCGGTAGAGTCAGTGTTTGTACGATCATACTCCCAATGTTTTGATTTTTGCAAGGGCGAACTGGCCCTGAATAGAGTTGCGTTTGTATGATTAGGAATCACGCGAAAGTAGAGTCAGTGTTTGCTGCATATTATAAAATATTTTCTAGAGCATCGCGGCTCTGATTTTTCTTTTTCCATCGCGAAAGTAGAGTCTACAATTGTTCGCCGGAAATTATTCACGGTCGCGTTACTAGTACTTTATATCTTTATTTTTATTTTTTATTTTTTTTTTTTATTGCTCGATATATCCGGTATTAGAGTCACGGCACCACTGAAGAGGAGTCTTGGGCGTTGCTCCATAAGGAAAGAGTGTAAGTATCTTATTACTTTATTTAATTAATTTTAATTGAAATAGAATAATTTACAATATCAATACTTGATAATTGAGAGTTCTTAATTGCTATTGCTAATATTTTATAAAATTCAATTTCATATATAATTTTATTAAAATAAAAATTGATAATTTGCAAAATTAACCGTAATTCTTTTTTGTTTTGTTATAGATGAATTTTTTGTTTTTGCCGAGTTCCTGGATATCCTGAGGATGGCTTTCTTCACGACTTCCGTCTTGGTACGTCACTTAATTGCTTTTTATTAAAATAGAATAATTTACAATTTCAATACTTGATAATTGAGATTCCTTTTTAATTGCTAATATTTTATAAAATTCAATTCCATATATAATTTTATTAGAATAAAAATTTATAATTTTCAAAATTAACCGTAATTCTTCTTTTTTTTGTTACAGATGAATTTCTACCTGGTGTTGTCCATCCTCCTACTTGACTGTCGGAAGAAGAGTATATCTGCGAACGGTGAGTCGCATGTTTTATGGTTCCTCTGGTGCCCAATCATGTCGTAGGACGAATGGTCCGAATCGACACGGGCTACTAGTTGTATACGTGCTTGGCAAGCATAGTGACCATGGGTATGATTATACATACCCATGAGTAGTAACATTTTTATTGTTTCATTTCATTTAGTTAGGCTAGGTCTTCTTGTACTCCGCGTTTTAATATCATTTCAATTCCACATATTCCAATAGATATTTATGAAATATATGAATGCTCTTAAATGTTCTTAAATGTGGAATTAGAATATTTTAATACCGAAACAATTTTATTTAGTTTGTCTGTAATAGAGAAGTCAAATACTATCTGACTTAGTTATTGCGAAGGTTCAAAGTATTATGTAATATGTATACTGGATATACATATTAATCATGCTATTACATTGATTTAATTACATTTTGTAAATTATAAATTCAAATATAATTTGAGAATTTTTTAAAATTTCATTCATTCAATAGCGAAGTTTAACTTATTTACACGTTCATGGAAAAAATGAACAATTTATGTACAAGAAGACAATTCGTGACGGGTAGATTTCCAAGTCAGAGTGATCCATTTCAACACATTTTGCATATTCTTGAAAATTTGCTCTGAGGAGGGAGTCGCCCGAGGATGTTTTATTAATTTTCACAATAAATTGTTGTTTCATTACAAAGAATTCTTAATTAGAGACATTAAATTCATTTTTATTAAAATTTTGCATTTCTTAAATTAGTGTTGCGAAAAATTTCCAGCGCGAGAGTAAATATGACGATGCACTGACTAGTATTCGGTGGGAATCCTTTTGGTTTTTAAACTCAATCCTTTTTATTATTTAATTAATCAAATTAGTTACAAGGATTCCGCGGCATAAGACCGTGAACACCATCTCTGGGAGATATACCCATGCATTACTAGGCCTTTGCAGGCGCAGCTTTAGAATACGGAACATATGAAAATATGTTACCATATTCTAAACTGTAGTCCTTTCGTCTATACTATGGGCGTCCGTCAATCTGACACCGTTGGATGCAACGTGTTGGACGGGCGGGTAGCGCTCTTAGCGAAGGGGTGCACTCTGTCCTGGCGTTACGACGTCCAGGCGGGGTGGGTGGTATGTAGCGTCTGGCGTAAGTCTAGGGG